GTCCAATTTAGGACTCATCAACTGGATATACTAACTTATATTTTAAGTTTACACAATAAATTTTTTTCACATATCAATATGGAAACAAAATTCTATCCCTTTAAGGTGATTTATTTATTTTTTTTTTGTTTCTATGATAATCTCTATGACGTCATACATAGTAACAATAAAAGCAATGAAATTGTGTACACCTTTCAAAAATAAAGGATTATCATTACAAACAAATTAACAACAACAACAAAAAATTAGGCGGCAATATTAAAAATAACTTACCAGACAATTCGATGAAAATCAATGTAAAATGAGAGAATAAATGAAACAACAACAAAAAAAACTAAATGACGCAAATCAACAAACCGCTAATCACTTTTTTTTTTGTTGGTTCATTTATTTAATGTTAAAAACCAAAAAAATTTGAAAAATCAAAACTAAACTACTGAAATCAGTAGTAAACTAAAAAAAACAACAACATAGAAAAGAAATGTCTAATCATTCCAATAATATTGTAGTGAACAAGAATACAAGTAGGGATAACTTTCGATTGGTAATACAATACTATTTATATTTGTGGACATCAGTAGTATACACTATACTGTATCTTCTAAGGTTTATGCTTAGATCCGTTTATCAATATTCACTCAGAAACTAAACTTAGTAATCTATTCTTCTATCAAGATAAATTATAACCTTCTCACGAGGGCTAATCAAATAGTTCTATGTTGTTACTGCTCAAATCCTAATTGTAACTAGTTAATTATAATCCTTCATTTACAGAATGAATCACACAAGTGAATCCAATACAGTAACAATAATAAGATTGATTAGCTTGTACCCATATAAGGTTAATTTACACTTGTCAATTATATGATTATTATTATTAGACTGAACGACAACACAAATGAGGACAAACAAATGTATTGGAATAAAAAATTACATAACGTCTTAGTGAAATCGGATAATTATACAGTGGATACTTCATTTGCAAAATATCCATTACTTGTTTCAACACCAATCATTCTCTGTTCTCGTTCTCTTTTCCTTGGCCTTCTTAACGTTCTACGGTCAGGCATTTCACTGTTGATTAATAATACATACTACTTATGTCTGTGAATATCAGTAGTATACACCACAATTTATTTATTTATTTGAACACATAAATATTGGTACAAAAAGGCACCAGATATATATGCGTCACACAAAAAGTTGACATCCCATTTAATTGTGTGAGCGCTGCAACACTACCCGGGTGCTCAGATCAAAGCAGGAGGTTTTCTTAAGGGGCCACACCCGAAGCCTTTGACTTAAACGTTTGATCCACAAGTCAGTGGAGCAACGTAAGGAGATGCAGTCCCATGGTAGCCCATCATTACCAATAGGTTCATACGACATTTTTTTCTTCAAGATCCTGAACCATTGATGTAGAATCGGGGTTTTCCGATTCCCGTTAGCTGGATCTTCCATATCCACCAACCCGGTTAAAGCGCCGGATATTCGCTTTTCGTCCTGTCAATTTCGTAAACAACAGTAATGCCACTAGAAGGCAGTGAGTAGGACTTCCCTGGCAGAGGCTGTATACGGGTGGTCATGTGAGAGCATTTCGAGAGGGATATCTAACTCTCCCCACCCTAGGCCGTACCAAAGCACTTGGGGGCACCAAAATACCGTAAGTGGTATGGGGAATAACAATAATCAACAACACTAATACGTTTGTCACGGGAAAAAACGATGTATTTCTACTCCAGCAAATAAATATGTTTTGTAAGATATAACGAGTGTTGTTTAACAAAACAACATTAATCAAGATGTTACTTGTATTAGCTGAACTTGATGATTGTGAGGTTGATAAAAAAGAAGAGATTTACAGGTTTCAAAGAAAAACTTATTCGTTATTTAGTAAGTCAGTAGGAATTTACATGAAGTCGATAGGGGTTTTCTCACAATGAAACAAAATGTAGTGAAAAGACGACGAACACAAACACACACTGTGAACAGAACACCGGTTGGGGACAATCGAATGTATTTAAACGATATTAAGTTCTGGTAACCAGTGGAGTTCAACCACATCTGTCGTGAGATATCAACTCACTGAAGACAATTGGTAAACGGTTGCTCAACTTCGTGTATTCGTTGAACTTAGATATTAACACCGTTGGATGCCGGCCATCTCAGTGGTCTATGGGTTAAGGGCTCTGGCTCGAGACTTGTAGGTCCTGGGTTCGAAACTCGCGAGTGCGGGATCGTGAACGCGCATTGCTGAAGATTCCCATAATCCGACGTAAAGGCCGTCCAGTGCTTCCATGTTTTCCCTGGTGGTCTAGCTTCAAATGACCCACGCTTTCAACTATGAAAATACAGTAAACAATTAATTTGCGAAATAACAATCAATTGTCTTCAATCTTCACTATTCCTTCTGTAAATATCAATCCATCTTCTCTAATTTCATTGTTCATACATTTTCCTACCGATTGCGTTTCATTTCAGTTCTTTCTTTATCGGTCTTCTACCAAAATACATTCTATGTCTGGCCCTGTCCATACACTACTTATATGGATATAAGTAGACCACACTACAACACAACTACATCGGTTGTAAATGAAATTGTAACTTTAACTTTTTTTAAGTTAAATAGAGTGATGAAATGTATAATTAGACAATTACTTAAAGAATCAATATACTTTCTTCTTCCTTCTTTTTTTATCATTACATATACAGTATTTATGGGATGTACTAGTGTTTTGAGTAAGAAAGAAACATTGTGGTGAGGGTTACTTATATCCACATAAGTAGTATATAATGATGGTCAGGCGTTGAATGTATTTCAGTAGATGATCGATAAGTAGAGAACGGGAACGAGACGGAATTGGTATGAAAATGCAAAAAAAAAAAATAACAATCAGAGACGATGGACTGATATTTGCAGAAGGAACGGACAAGATTGACATAATTGATTTATAGTTTGCATATTAGCTGTTTAATGTATGGTTATCAGATTTTGGTGAGATATTCTGAAATTTTGTACCTAAATGCATTCGATTATCCCCCACTTGTGTTCTTATTCACTATAACAGATTGTTAAAAGATCATGGAAATCATTCGAATGTTATCAAAGTGATTTAGATACTACCCACATAAGAGGTATTTAATTATTGTCAATAATTTTCATGGGGAAATATTTGATCTATAACTATAAACATTTAAATTCACTTAGTAATGTTTGTTTGAATCTTCTCATCGATGGTTAGGACTGCGATTGGTCAGTAAGTGAGTGGATAATGCGATGATGTTTGAAGCGAAAGGTACTGGGTTCGAGTCCCAGGGTGAATATCAACAACTCTGAGATGCAGGTACATTCAGATGACGAGTCCCTAATACGACGAAACGCGCGTCAAACTGGATTCTATTGCTAGCCACTATCCATCTTTGCTGATAAACATTTGATGTAATTATAGTGTCTTTTGCTTGAATTGATATACGATAATTCCGTCCAGTTTTAGAAGAAAATCTCGACAAATGGATTCGATATTATAAATGACAATACATTAAATATGTTTTTAGAACTATATATATTACTCAGTAGATTTCTCTGAAGCATTTAAGTCATTAGTTATTCAGATCACAATAAACTCTTAGTTTAACACATTACGCCGGGAAATAGAAGCAGATATGAATAACAACTGGAAAGGATTGCCTAGGACAAAGTTGAATGGAGAATGATGGTGAGCGGCCTAAGCTCCTCCACGAGGGGTAACAGGCGTAAGTAAGTAAACTCTCACGAAAGTTAGATTTCTTATAACATACACTAAGTTTAATCTTGACTTACAATTCTATTTCAAGTGCGATGTGAAATCTTCCGTAATCTTAATTAACATATCCTAGCATACATGTAACTGCATGTCCTCTGATATGATGCCTTAAGACTAGGTCTAACATCCAGATCTTAATTGATTGGAGAATGAGTGACCTACAATCTAATTTCCTCCAATTGCCTATAATATATTATTATGTTTATTTTGTGTTCCTATTCTATCTATAACCATCTTATTTTACTAAATGGAGAATCATTCATCTGGCTTAATGGTCTTGCCTTTGATTTCTAATTATTCAAAGAGTTGTAATTAATTATCACTCAGAGATGTCATATCATTACTTTCATCAGTCGATTATTATTTTATTCATTCGAAGATCTTATCTGATTAGATCATAGAAAACATCCTCGGTAACAACTTTTTGAATGAACCATTCAGTTATGATGCGATATGAAAACTATTCAATAAGATATCTGGAACTATATGAATTTTCAGAAAGAAAACTTGAGTACGAGCTGTTATATTCTAATGAATAATAAATGAACAATAATTGTTAGGAACTATTCATAGACTTTCGTTAGTTGAAATTATGAGTCAATTGAATCTAGACCATTATAGGAAACCTGGAAGCAATGGATGGTCGGGTTCGAATCTCGCTGTGAAGGGTCATGGATACGCGTTGCTGAGGTGTACCAAAATAGGACGAAACGGCATTCCAGTGCTTTCGGGTTCTCCATGGTAGTCTAACTTCAATTGACTCATAATTTCAACTATAAAATTACTAAAAATCTCCACAAAACCCCCCTCTGATCATAATCATATGCTCACTAGTGACTGACTTCAAGAGGTATTTCCTGGAGTTCTAGTAAGAAGAAGTGACCAGTGGAGTTCAACCAGGTCTGTTGTGAGATAGTAACTCACTAAAGACAATGGTGAACGGTTGTTTAATTTCGTGGATTGGTTGAAGTTAGACATTAACACCGTTAGATACCAGTCATCTCACTGGTCTAGAGGTTAAGCGCTCGTAAGCGAGAATGATAGGTCCTGGGTTCGAATCTCGCGAGGCGAGATCGTAGATGCGCAATGCTGAGGATTCCCATAGTAGGACGAAACGGTCGTCCAGTGTTTCTCGGTTTTCCATGGTGGTCTAGCTTCAATTGACTCATGATTTCAACTATAAAATTACTAAAAATCTCCACGAAACCCCCTTCTGATAATATTCATAGACTATTATATATACTCATTTTTATCATAAGCTTTTATTTGATTCACAAGTACATTATGATTGTAGTTACAGATACTACTTATGATTGAATAAAACATAAGCATGAACCCTGATATGAGAATTCCTTTCGTTAATGACATTATTTAACCTAATGTGTTTTAACATATTTTTGGTTGAAAAGGTAAACCTCATCAGTTTAAATCATTAAAACAACAACATGGAAACATGTTTTAAAATTTAATTATAAGAGAACACAACTATTTTAATGTAGGTTTGTTCTCTGAGCTGGATGGGTTTGATCGTGAAGCTTTCATTGTCCTTCTGAACGACATCATCAGCAGCAGCACAAACTTCGGGTAGAAGTGAAGTGTTTGAATTTCTTCACATGTGATTCACAGCTTGTCCTGTACACACTTCACTTCTACTCTAAGTTTGTGCTGATGATGATGTCGTTCAGAAGGACGATGAAAGCTCCACGATCAAACAATCCAGCTTAGAGAACAAACCTACATCAAAATCACCTACTTGAGCTACAAATCTTCTCCACCATCTCAAGAACATAACTATATCAACAATATATATATATATATATTTGTGTGTGTGTGTGTGTACAGATGAGTTCCAGTAGTATATCCTGTGTATATTGATTATGCACATACTGGACCGTCGAAAGATGAGTAAAATATATGTATTTCCAAAAAAAAAGTGGAACTGATCAATTTTTACTCTTAGAAAAAATGTAAAGACTTAAGGAAGATGATGAGAAAAGGAAAGAGTATAAAGGTTATTCTACACACACACACACACACACACACAAGAATACATAATGGTTTATTCAAGCTTTGTAAATGAGAACACACATGTATACACATATATGTCTTTAATGAGATAACAAAGATAGATAGACTAAATTCATTTGGAAATAGAAAGAGTATAGAGATTAATGATGAACAATAAAGAAGTATACAACCACTTTCTTCTTCTTCTTCTTCGTCTTCTTGAATTATGGCTTAATACATGTAGATGTATAAACTCCCAAGGGAGACGGAGAGGGAGAGCAAGAGAATAATGAAATATGTATATGATTAATAAAGATGAGTAACATTGTAAAGATTCAAAAGGAAAAAATTATGAAATGATAGTGACTTTAAGAGTAGTAGCAGCAGCAGTATTATCCTTAGAGATTGATTAGAATAAAGCAATAATAATAATGATGATGATGATGAGAAAGAGGAGGTGGAGGATGGATAGTGACTAAAAAAAAAACGAAAAACAAAAAAAATTGAAAACCATTAAAAAAACACAAAAAAAGAAAACATATCGATCTTGTAAACACTTAATAAACATCTACATTCATATATATATATACACATAGAATATTTTGTAAGTAGATTAATAAGTAGTAATAAGTAAACATAGAAGAGAAGGGAAAAGAATGTTATCAAATATAATAATTTGTATGGTAAGAGATAAAATAAAACAAAACGAAGTAAATCATTGAAACAAATCTCTAAGAAGAACAGATAAGACTGATGATATTCAGAATTGAAAAGAAAACGACGACGACAACAACAACAACAAGGAAGAAAAAAAAACAGAAGATCGATACGATAAAAGAAACATTAGAATAAGGTCACAAAGACTAGGGAACAATCATTAGAGAGACAAAAAAAATAAAAGAGGTAAATTATTGAAATAAAACTCTAAGAAGAATAGATAGGATTGATGATATTCAGAATTGAAGAGAAAAACGACGACCACGACAACAACAACGAGAAGAAAGAAAAAAAAAATACAGAAGATCGATATGATAAAAAAAACCATTGGAATAAGGTCATGAAGACTAGGTAACAACCAATGGATGAAATAAGTTATCAAGGAAACTGTATATAGATAGATAGATAAATATGAACAATTCTTATGATAATAATGTTTCATCAATAATATTGAGGTAGATCATGTATGTCGGTGGGGGGGGGTCTAATTGAATAATAATAATACATTTTGTTCATACCTATCTAGATACAATACACTGGTATATATAGAGATATAACAGTAGAAGGAATGAAATGAGTAACACCATATAGATATATAGATGTATAATATCAATAATACATAGAAAGAACATCATTTAAGTAGTATGAGGTAGATGATGATAGTCATGATGAATGAGAATATCAAAGTAACAACAATAAAAAAAACATGAAAAATAAATGAATTTTTTTTTTGGCTTTAAAACAACAAAACCCCCACCAAAAACAAAACATGGAATCATGCACTACTGAAATGACCAGTTAATCATAGTAGTATAAATTATTCCATGAAATTGTTTGTTTCTTTGTTTACTGATGTTAAAGAAATCCCACTGTTTATTGACTTTCATATTCAGTATTGGTATTATTGTTATGATTACTATTATTGTTGTTGTTGATGTTGTTATTATTCAATGAGAATAATGTCATTGATACATGATGAACAAATTCCATAGTAGATTTAAGTTCTTTTGGTTGTAAATCTCGAGGAATCTATGAATATAAGAAACAAAAAAGAAAAAATTAAATGACTAAAAAGATTTTATATACTTGAAATCATGAGTCCATTGAACATAGACTATCGTGGAAAACCTGGAAACACTGGACGGCTGTTTCGTCCTGTTGTGAGACTCCTCAGTAGCGTGCATCCATAATCTCGCCTCACGAGATTCCAACCCAGGACCTGTCAGTCTCGAGCGCAAACACTTAACCTATAGAACCACTGAGATGGCCAGCATTCAACGGTGTTAATGTCTAACTTCAACTAAGAAGATTTGTTTAGAGTAAACAAAGTTCACTTAATGATAAAAACAGTCATAAAACAAAGCATGATGATATTGAACTTTAAAATAAAAGAAACCAGGTAAAGGATAGTAAAAGCTGAACAAGTGTGATTTGCATTAAACCAACAACATCCTCGAAGTGGTATAGGAAATTAATAGATATCGACCTAGTATCTAACCGAACTTTGTCAATTTTATATATATATATTTTTAAACATTTTATAAAATCAACTCCCCATCTCTTTCTCTCTAATCTAACTTTTAAATACAAGTAATAAATTTCATAGATAGCACTGAACGGCTAAGTGGTCTATCGGTTAATAGCACTGGTTTGAGACTGGTAGGTTCTGGGTTCGAATCTCACGAGTGTGGGAATCAGTGAAACCATGTTTTACCTATATGTCGACTAATTGTATATCTCTTGGAGGCAGACACTGTTGAGCATATGATCATTATCAGAAAAGGATTTTTTCCAGATTTTAGTAATTTTATAGTTGAGATCATGAGTCAATTAAAGCTAGACCACCATGGAAAACCTGAAAGCACTGGATGGCTGTTTCGTTCTATTGTGAAACTCCTCAGCAGTATGCATTTTCGGAAGTCACGAGGCCGATGACCCTTCTAACAACCAGAGTAATAATTTTTATAAGTACACGGAACGTCCGGATAATATGGGAGATCTGGAAGATCAGTCAAATAGCAACGCTAATGAGGAGATACAAAATGTCAGTACTAGGAATCAGTGAAACCCATTTGTTTTAGCTATATGTCGACTGATTGCATGAAACCACTTTTAATCTGATACTTAATCAGTCTTGAAAACAAGACAACTTGAAGCGAAAAACAAACAACAACCCATAAATAATAAAAAAGGTCACATTGATTGTGTTTTACTGGCGGTGTTTAAATCATTAAGCATAATAAATAAACAAATCTGGATATATATACACATAATGATAATGACTACGATAAGGGAGGGATTATGTAGATTAGTTTAATTTGAAAATCAATTTATGAATGAACCATTTAGATTTACGATAACAGGTTTTGAGTTTTGGCATGAAATCAATTCATTCATTTGGGTAGATAGAGTTTTGGCATTACAGCTGATGTCAGTTCGTGATGAAAATCTTATATCTAATTCCTAACCCTAACTATCAACTGTAAATATTAATCCTAATTTCTCACAATGGTTTATAACCCTCATTTAGCAGTAGTATGTAGATGGATATTCTCAAGGTAGTTTTAGAGTCGCTGAAATTATTATTATTATTATTTAAAGAAATAAACATTGGTACAAAGGGGCACCAGATATATATGCGCCACGCAAATCTCATTTGATTTCTGTGAGGGCTGTGATACTGTCCGGGTGCCCAAACGGAAGCAGGTGGTTTTCTTAGGGGGCCATACTCAGAACCTTTGACCTAAAGATATGATCCAATAGGCAGTGGAGCATCTTAAGGAGATACAGTCCCATGGTAGCCGGTCACCAACGATTGATTCATACGCCATTTCTTTGTTTGTTCAGGATCCTGGAACAAATGTGCACCATTGATTTGGAATCAGGATTTTCCAACAACCCTAGGACCCTTCATGTCAACCAACCTGAATAAAGTGCCGTATATTCGCTTTTCGTCCTCTCAATTTTGTAGAAAACAGTAATGCCACGAGAAGGCAGTGAGTAGGACTTCCCTGACAGAGGCTATATACGCGTTGTCATGTGAGAGCATTTGGAGAGAGAGCTGATTCTCTCCACTGTCGGCCATACCAGGGAATTTGGGGGCATAATGTGATATAGTATCTATTGATTTTATTAATTATATGACAATGAATAGGGGTAACAGATAAATGACAACATCTATTTGACAATACATTAAAATTACTAAAATCTCCATAAAACCTCCTTCTGATAATAATCACATGCTCACTAGTGACTGGCTTCATGCGATATTTCCTGGAGTTCTAGTGAGAAGCAGTGACCAATGTAGTTCAACCGGGTCTGTTGTGAGATATCAACTCACTGAAAATAATGGTTGATGTGTCGCTCAATTTTCGAAGATTGGTTGAAGTTAGACATTAACACCGTTGGATGCCGGCCATCTCAGTGGTCTATCAGTTAAGTGCTCGCGCGCGAGGCTGATAGATCCTGTGTTCGAGTCTCGCGAGGCAGGGTAGTGGATGTGCGCTGCTTAGGAGTCTCGTATTAAGACGAAACGGCCATCTAGTGCTTCCAGGTTTTCCACAGTGGTCTAGCTTCAATTGAATCATGATTTCAACTACAAAATACATTAAAATGATTGAGAACATATTTGTACACTTTACCTATTACCTCCGAGAGTGGGGAGACTTCGCTCACCCTCTCCGAATGCTCTCACATCACTATGCGTATATAGCCACTACCAGGGAAGCTCTACTCACTGACTTCTCGTGGCACTACTGTTGTTTACGAAATTGATAGGACGAAAAGCGAATGTTCGGCAAAGAGTCCACCTAGGGAAGTTGGGAAATCCTGATTCCAAATCAATGGTGCACATGGTCTCCAGTATCCTGAGAGAACAAATGACGTATCAATCGATCGTTGGTGACCGGCTATCATGGGACTGCATCTCCTTACGATGCTCCACTGCCTGTTGGATCATATCTTTAGGTCAAAGGCTCCGGGTATGGCCCCCTAAGAAAACCACCTGCTTCCGTTTGGGCATCCGGGCAGTATCCGGACAGCTGTCACACACAAATCAAATGAGATTTGTCCGACACAATCATTTCAGACTATTATCATGGTCAAAACTAGGTAGATATATGTACATATTAGAGATAATAAAGAGAAATAAAAATAGACATCATTAAAGATCAAACAGGTCAAGGTTAAATGAAATATGACACTTCATATATATATATACACTGACAATATGAAGAAAAACCAAAAGTGAAGAACGAAAGAAAGAAAGAGAATAAGTAAAATTTCATGTTTACCTTTAAACCGAAACACAAAGAGTCTAAGGGGGAAAAGAAACGCTTTGTTTACACTTTTTTTTTAAAAACAAACAAACAAACAGTAAATAGGTTGATTGAACACATTGAACAAATTAAATAATCATAACAAAGAAAAAAATATCAAAAATTCAGTTTATTTTTCTTTTTTTAAAAAAAGGGGGTTTCATAGAAAAAACATAAAAAAGGTCAAAGGGGATTTATTGATTTTTTTAAAAGTAGGTCAACTAATACACACACACACACATCAATGATTTGATTGTTTCAAAATAAACTGAGTATTAGGTAAATAGATTATAATAATAATAGAAGTATATTTATAATAAGCAATGATGGATAGTGGCTAACAGTGGAATCCAGTTTGACGAGCGTTTCGTCGCATTAGGGACTCGTCAGCTGGATGTACCTGCATCTCAGACTTGTTGACGTTCACCCTGGGACTTGAACCCAATATCGTTCGCTTTAAACGCCATCGCGTTATCCGCTCACCTACTGAGTCCTGATAGCCACTTGCCAGAGTGAACATTGACAACTCTGAGATGCAGGTACATCCAGCTGACGAGTCCCAAATAGGGCGAAACATGTTTCCAACTGGATTCCACTGCTAGCCACTATCCAACTTTGCTTATAATACTTATGAATTAAGGCAATATCAAGGCAATACGCATAGTATGCACATATGCCAATAAGAGACTGACCAATCTCAGTGCTAAACACCAATGGGAAGATTCAAACAAATGTATTTATGATATCCCAGTGATTAATTTACAATGGCTTGATTACTGAAGGGTAGATCAATGTCATGTATGTCAGATCATTCTTAGTGCAGATGGAATCCTATCGACCAAGTTGAAATGTAGATACCAGTCTATGTGACTCGACATTGCGTACATTATGTTGAGATTAGTGTTAAAAAAGGACGAGTGCTGGGGAAGATAGAACATTCGGACAATTTCTTTCAAGATTATTATTTAAATTTTCATTGCATAGTTAGTAGATAGCTGTATTGTGTTTCTATATTCTCCGTATTGTAAGATTCCAGTGAACCTATTAACTACTGTTATGCATTTAACTATTCCTTAATTATCAGAATGGGGGATTTGGGGAGATTGTAGTAATTTTAATAATTGAATTCATGATTCAACTGAAGCTAGACCGCCATTGAAAACCTGGAAGCACTGGATGACTGTTTCATCATAGTATGAAACTCCTCAGTGGTGCACACCCACGATCTCACATGAGGGACACGAACCAGAGACCTTCGGTTTAACTCTAGACCATTGAGTAAGCATCCAACGGTGTTAATGTCTAACTTCAATCAGTGGTCCCATAGTAGGAAAGAGATGCCATCCAGTGCTCATCCAGATTCTCCATGGTGATCTAGCTTTAATCAATTCATGAATTCAACTATTAAATTACTACTATCTCCACAAATCCTCATTCGGAAAAAAATATTTATCGAAAAACAAATTATGTGTACTGAACAGACCCCAACCAATCTAAGACTTCCATCGTAAAGTACATGAAACAATCTCCTATTTTCTTAGTCAGTTTGATGAGTGTAATAATAATGATAATAATAACATGCATTGACCAAAGTGTAACCATGAAATAGTTTAGAATCAATTTATTTTTGCGGTTAACCATTTAAATCATGATCGAAACAGTCATTCAGTCAGCTGAAACGTAAGACCAGACACATATATGCATCGGTTCAAG